ATGGATGTCGAGAACACGGCAAACTCCCCAGAGTCTAATGGAGCGATTCTGTGTCAAGTGACGAGTCTTGCGGTGCCATTGCTGCTCGTGATGCTGACCGTATCCCAAGAGGAGATGGTCGTGCAAAGCGTCGTGTTGGCGCTTCCTCGCCCTCCGACGGTGCTGACATTATTTCGAGGACGCGCATGCCAGCCATGCCAACCTGCAAGGGGCCATCGAGGATTTATGCTCGGAGTCGTTCGCCCAGGGATCGAGCACAACGGAAACTCTCATCGATAATTAGACTGACGTGGTTGGCAGACTGCAGACTACGCCTTCGTCTACGGCTGCACAAGTCGAGCAACGCCTCCGAGCAGTCGAACTGGTGCAGAGTGGACGCACATAGCAGTTGGCATCCCGTCAAGAAGAGGTCCAGAAGATCAAGCAGGAGCCCCGGATCGTCAAGGACATTCCCAGCGAGCTGCCGACACTCTTCCCGAATTTCTTCTTCGACTCAGCGTCAATCGCGCGGTCCACGTCACTAGCACTGTGGTTCGCTGCGTGGCAGAGACGGCGCAACTTCACGTTCATTGTGTTCTCTTTCGCTGGCTCAACCGCCTCATCACCGAGGGTGACGAGTGCAGGGCTGCACGACCGACAATCGCTTCGCGATCGAGCTCAAGGATAGATCGCGCTTCGCCGCTCGCCGTTCACAGCGTGCCTTCCATCTCCCGCGCCCGCGGCGTCCAAGTGAGGAGCGGATGCAGCCCCGTGCTCCCGCGATTGCAGGTGCTCGCCCTGCGATGTTTGTCGGGCCCGGCAAACGCCATTCCTGATCAAGCGCCAGGTGGCGCTCAAGCTGGGCGTTATTTTCGAGAGGCGCCCCCGCTGCGCGCCTTCTCTTCTTCGTCATGCAACTGGCGCGGCGCTGTCTCGGTCAAGCGTCGACAGCTCGTGGAAATCACTCCGCAGGCTGACAGCGATGCGCCGCAAGTGCGCCGCGAATTCTGGCTGCGGGGAATCTGTTTCGAGCGGAGCTCGAGGGCCCCGTGGCGGCAGTCATCCAGGGGGATAACCGCGCCCGGCGATCTCCTTTGCATTCCGTTTGCTGTCTGGAGCTGCTCCGTGAAAGCCCGGGCGCCGATGGCAATCGGCTCTTGGGGCTTGATTGCCTTGCTTCATCGCCAGACTTGCGCGCGCATGGCTAAGAATAGATATCGCCGACGCTTGCTTCAACGCGGGGCAGTCGTGGCCGCGCGAGATTTCCGCGGATCGACTGCAGGGGCGCAAGACTTTTAGCGCCATTCGAATCGTCTTCTCGCCTTCGCCCCTTCCTCCCCGCCCGCCGCGCGCGACGCCGGTGGCGCGCCCAGGCCCCGCCGGGCCGGCGGCGCCGCCGTTTTTCGCCCGAAGTTGAAGCGGGGCAGCAGCGCGCGCGCCGCGTCTCTTCCTCTCGCCTCGTGCTGGGTCGGGCTCTGACCGCGCGCGTCGCCCCTCGAGATGGTTCATCGTGGCGTTCGCGCCGCGACATTCGCATTCTCCATATATCACTTATTCAGCGACGTCACGTTTGTTAGAGCGTTGTCGCAGATCTACTAGATGCTTGTCGAGACCCGCAGGGTCAGTTGGCCATCGCCGTCGGGGATCGCAGCCGCCCACGCCGCTCGACCCGAGCGACGGGCACTTCGATGCCCCGCTGCCTCCGCAGGCCCCAGGTGCTCCAGGGCGGGGGGGGGTTCTGCGCGACTCGTGGAGTTCCAGGTGGGGGCGCCCACGCAGTACCACGCGGTTAGCGCCTGTCCTTCATGGATAGTCTTTCTCCGCTTGGCGACTTGGCAGGCTCTCTCTCAGACGGTCTCGAGCGGGGTGGTGGCGGGGGGGCCTCGTCAACTTCGCGCACGACAGATCTGATCGCGCCGCAGCGTGTGCGACTAGAGTTGCTCACCGCCGGCCGCCCGAGGACGCTCGCCCGATCCCTCGCGGGACCTTCCGCTCTCGCGAGTTCCCCTGGCATGCGTCGACCAGCGGCGCCGGAATCTGAACGTCTCGGCGCGCGCCTGATGCGCGCGCTGCGCGCCGCTCGCGATTCTGGCAGCCTGCGGAAAGGGCGCATCCCGCGCAGGCCGCAGCCCCATCGACGCCAAATTTGACGGGATTCGCAAGTGTGTCCGCGCGCTCTCGCGGCAAGATTTTCGATTTGCCGGGCGAACCTGCCCGTCTCATCTTCTCGTCCGCGAACGCGAACATCTCGTCGTCGACTCGGTCTCGGGCGCGGTCGATCTCGCCCGCCCATTAAAAATTCGCCGCGCTTTCGGGCGCGCCGCGCGCCGAAGCCCCCCAGCGTCGCCGCCGACATGCGCGAGCGAGCCCGGGCGCCGTCGGGGTCGAGCGGCGCCGGGCTCGGCCTCGACGGCGGGCGGGGATGACCCAGGGGGCCGCCGCTCTGCGGCCCCCGCTGGTCGAGCGCGTCAGCCCCGAAGCTCTCGCTGCACACCGGGCGCGTGTTTTTCCAAGGGGGCATTCGACGAGGCGAGCGCCGGCTTTCACTTGCAGGATATTGCCCCCGAGGTTTTGCGCCGTGGCCCCCCCTCCGCGCTCGGGCTTCTTGAAGGCCACTTCCGAGGGCAATCGGTCCCCGGCCCTGGGCCCGACCGTCGCGGGCGCGCCGCGCGCCGCCGCGCTCCGCTAGGTTTGGCCATCCTGCTTGAGGGCCCGCAGTGGATCTCGAGCGGCTTCGCGCTCGCAATCGACGCAAACGAGCTGCCGCAGGCGTTCGCCCCACAGGGCCCAGAATCAGACGATGGCGAACAGGGCTTTGGCATCGAAGACGCGGGAAGCAATGCTGGGGGCTGTCTGCCGGGAGTTCTCTCGTCGCGCGCCCGCCGGGCTCGACTCGAATCAGAGGGGCTTCGTTTCCGGGAAGGACGTTTGCGCGAATATCGCTGGTCTGGCCGGTCGAAGGCCCTGCCATTGCTGCTCGTAGAATTCAATATCGGACAGGCATCTCCGAATGTTTGCCAGCGCTGGCCGATAGTGATTGATTATCGAAGTTCCCATACGTTCTTCGGGGACATATGTGAGAGCGTCGCTCGCTGGGGCAATGTCGTGGGCATCTTTCATGTCGCGGACTTCATCGCGGCTGGCGCAATCCATGGCCGCCCGCCCTCCTGGCTGCTCTTCAGTCTCGCTCTCGGCCCTTTGAGAGTTTCGGTCCAGCGGTCGCTGACGGCGCGCGCCATGGCTGCGCTCGTGCGTGCGCCGGCGACAGCGGCATGGCTCCGAGGTGCATCTCGATCTTAAGCAAGGTCGCGGTGTTTTTTAATCCGCAAGCGAAGGCGCTGCCGCGCCTGGGCAGCCCCACCCAGTGGGCATGCCGCCCAAGAGAATGCTCGGATCTAGTGTGATCGGCTCTCTCTATGTCTTGGTCCTCCATGGGCATGTCAGGCAAGCTCGGATATCTCGGCGTGTTCCCGGGCTCCGATGTGGCAGGGGGCTCGCGGCGCGTACCCCATCGGCAAGTGCCGCCCCTGCTGCGCGTTGATAGCAGCGAGTGGCTCTGCATCCGAGGTCGCGCCGATCCTGCATCGTCGCGCGCTGTTGGAGTTCTTGCGTGCGTCTCGTGATGTTACAACCCAGCTTCGAAAATCAGAATACCAGCAGCCCGCTCGTCTGTTTATGGCACAGATCCGCTGCTGGGCCGAGCACCGGCTCGCGCAGATTGAAGGACAGGGGGGGTCTTTCAACCGCATATCTCCTCGCCCTCAGCCCCGTAACTCTTGTGAGAGACAGCATCTGTATCTTCTCGGGCTAGCGCGAGTGCATGGCGGGTGGCATGGAGCTGGCGGGCGGAGCTGCCGATTCCATGCAGCTTTGCTGGTTGTCCTGACCAGGCATGTGGGCGCCGATGGCGCCCCGTCTTTTGGAAGTCGCCCCCTATTGTTCAGGCATGCCGATGGCGGTTGTCAGCGCCCCCCGACTTGCAGGACCGCTGGTACGACGGCACCCAGAGCCCTGCGCGCCAACCTCATTGTTGATCCCCTCCTCCCTTACTGCGCTCTTCATCCCGAGCGCATCCTGTACTCCAGCGTCGTGTCTAACCTCCTCCCCGAGAACCTCGTCTCCACCTTCGAAGCGCGCGTGCGAGACACGGTGCCCCGAAACCTTGCAAGATATCGTGCCCATCGACATGGAACGTTGCCGTGCCGCGGTTATATTTCTCTGTCTCCCCCGCCCTCCTTCACGGCGGGCTTCCAATACCAAAATCCCAACAGCCTGGGGCACGCGCGACAGCTTCCAGAAAGACGCACTATGCATGTTTGGCGTGCTGATCGATTTCAGCACGATTGGAGGTGTCCCTGATTCCTTAGGCTCCCCACTGACGTGGTAGAATACCCCCTTGGTTATCGGCCTCTTGCTCGTTTCGGCGCCCCTTCCCCGCTCGTGCCACGCTCGCCTTTTCCGGTCTGTGCTTTCGTCCTTTCTTGGTGCTCCCCACCCCACCCCTTCACCTGGAGTTCTGGCGCAGGCCACAAGGAGGGCGATGAGGGGGTGAGAAGGGGGGAGGGGTCGAAGGAGGACGGGGGGAGGAGGAGGGGAAGGAGAGGGGTGGAGATAGGCAAGTATTGGGAAGCGGGTGTCATTGCGGAGGAAGACGACGACGACGACGACGACGACGACGACGACGACGACGACGACGACGGCGGCGGCGGCGGCGGCGGCGGCGGCGGCGACGACGACGACGACGAAATCAGCAGCATGATGAGTAATGTAGATTGAGGGGGAGGAAGAAGGATGTGGACGACAAGAAGGAGGAGTAAGAGGAGGACGGGGAGGAGGAGGAGGAGGAGGAGGAGGAGGAGGGGAGGAGGAGGAGGAGGAGAGGAAGAGGAGGAAAATGATGGTGATACTGGTTTGGAGGAGGACAAGGAAAGAGGATGATAATGATGATGGTGATGATGATGATGATGAGGATGATAATGAGGATGAGGATGAGGATGAGGATGAGGATGATGATGATGATGATGATGATGATGATGATGATGATGGTCATAATAACAATGCCGAAAGTAACGATGTCGGAATGAGGCTGACGGAGGTACACCCCGAACCCACCAACGATGTCGGTATACACCATCATTCTTTTCACAGGCCCCTACAAAACAACTAATTTCTACCGCGAGCTGTGCCCTGTTGCGAGCGTGCCAGGACCGTTCTCGGGAGTCCAACGCCACGAATCAACTCCACCGCTGCGTTTTGACGTACCGAAGCGCGCCAGAACACCATTCCTGGGGTTTCATCAACGCCGCGGGTCAAAATAACGGTTGCGCGCTGGTGATCCTGAATCTTTCCAAAAACATGTAGGGTAGGTTGACTGACCATTTGAACATAGACGCATGTAAAGTCTAGCAATAGAGAAACAACCATAGTAAAAAAAACACATGTGCGCGGCGCTAAGTCGAAATCAACTTGTTGAAGAAGAACCGCCCTCAACCCTTGTTGCTCCTGCAACTGTTTTAGACGAGTGCGCGCGGTGCTAAGGCGAGAGCCACAACTGCCCGCCTTCAATCCTCCACACGTTTGCAACCAGTTCAAGCGAATGCGCGCAGTGCTAAAGCGAAAACCACATTTGGGAAACGGTCTGCCCTCCATGTGTGAATATGTTTCCCACTTGTAACCTTCAGGACCCAAAAGTTGTAAGGACGTCGCAGGCGAAACGCCCAACCCGCCTTTTCAGATTGACCTCGGGGTGCGACAGGGAGAAGATAGTTATAAGGAAAGGGAATGCAACGCAAGGAGGAAAAGGAAAACATACGATTTGTTGAAATATATGTATATATATATATATGTAAATATATACATTTATACACATTCATACAGATAGACACACATTTATGTATATGTGTATATATATATATATATATATATATAATCATCGTGCACGGGGCCCGGGCGCCGGGCGCCCAGGGCACGGGGGGGCACGGGAGGACCGGGGTTTCCCAGTCCGCTCCCGGAGCACCCCGGAACGGCCCCGGAGTTCCCAGACTGCCCCAGAGAGCTCCTAGAAGTCCTCGTGGAATTCGACAAGCCCCTCCAAGACAACCCAGGTAGCCCCAACGTGGCCCAAGAAGGGTTCGAAACCGCAAATACAGCCCAAGAGGCCTCCAAGAGGCCTCAAGAAAGCTCTTGAGGCCTCCAAGAGGCCTCAAGAGAGCTTCCGTAGCCACAAGCAGTTCCGGCTGAAGCAGTTTAAGTTCTCGAAGTCACTTCGACTTAGTACATATTGACGTCTCACACTTCGGAATAGCAGAAGCTTGCTCGCATACTTCTCAGACTTGCTCGGGATGCCGACAGTAGCCGAGATTACGCAACAAACTTTGAATGCGTGGAGGGGAGACGCATTCACTGGCGCCAACAGGCAGATCGCCCAGCTTGAGGTCGAGGTTGCCCGTCGTGCCAGAGACTGCGGACACCGCGTGGACAGCAATCGCAGTTTTGCCCGCGAGCATAGAGCAGAGATGCGGACTGCCGTTGCATCTTGGGCCTCCCACAACCGTGTCACACTTGAAGGGTCAGGAGCAGACGCTCTTCCATTCGGCGAGGTTGAGTATCCTGAAGGTGGCGGCGAATTTCAAGGCCAGTCCAACCGCATCGACGGTGAGACCGACCAGTCGGGCGAGTATTCCAGGAGCGTGTTCGAAGCTGGGGGCGGACAGAGGCTACCATCCAGCTGAAAGTGCAGCCAAGCATTTCGCAAATGTTCTGGCGCGGCGATATTGGCGCAGCATTATGTTCTGGCGCATCAATTCTGTCGCCGATCGTGCGTAGATCTTGTTTGGGCGCAGCAAGGCGCAGATGTTCGTGCCGTGAAGACTTGCCTAGCTCGTCGGCAACCCTGCTGCCTGGCAGCGCGTTGTGTCCAGCGCTCCTCTGCGCAGAAAAAATTATAGCCGGAGTGCAGTATCCCCAAACAGGGTTTTTAGACCCACTGCGGTTTCCATGGTCGATTGCGTGCCCGTCCAGTGCGGGCTGGCATGGCATGTTAAACATGCCTCCTCCTCCTCCTCCTCCTCCTCCTCCTCCACCTCCTCCACCTCTTCATCCCGAACGGCATCTCGGAGCCCAGAGTTGCGAGGATGTCTCCAGCGTAACGGGCTGGACCATCTCGCGCGCGGCATTTCGGACCCCAGAGTTGCGACGAAGTCTCGGGCGAAATGTGCTGCGAGGAAGTCTCAGGCGAAACGGGCCGGACCACCTCGAGCGCGGCGTCTCAGAGCTCCGAGTTGCGGGGGCCTCCTGGGGCCTCCTGGGACCTCCTGGTGACCTCCTGGGGCTTCCCCCTGGGCTTCCTGTGGCCTCCTGGACCCCACCTGGGGCTTCCTGAGCATCTTGGGGCTCCCAGGGAGGGATATCGACACCGGATGTGTATTAACTTGACACGTTCTGATGGGGGGCCTCTTGGGAGCCTCCTGGGAGCCTCCTGGGAATCTCCTGCGGACCCCTGAGGCCTGTCCTGGGCGTCCTGCGGCCTCCTGAAGCTCTCTGGGGCCTCCTGGGGCTCCCAGGGTCCCAGGGGGAATCTGTAACATGTAGTCTTCTGGGCCCCCAGGCTGGACCACCTCTTGCGCAGCATCTGAGAGCTCAGAGTTGCGAGAATGTATTGTGCGAAACGGGCCGGACCACCTTGCGCACGGCATCTCAGAGCTCAGAGTTGCGAGGATGTCTCAGGCGAGACGGGCTGGACCACCTCGCCCAGGGCATCTCGGAGCCTAGAGTTGCGAGGATGTCTCAGGCGTAACGGGCTGGACCACCTCGCGCGCGGCATTTCGGACCCCAGAGTTGCGACGATGTCTCGGGTGAAATGTGCTGCGAGGAAGTCTCAGGCGAAACGGGCCGGACCACCTCGAGCGCGGCGTCTCAGAGCTCTGAGTTGCGGGGGCCTCCTGGGGCCTCCTGGGACCTCCTGGTGACCTCCTGGGGCTTCCTCATGGGCCTCCTGTGGCCTCCTGGACCCCACCTGGGGCTTCCTGAAGCATCTTGGGGCTCCCAGGGGGGGATATCTAACATGTGGCCGTCGGGCCCCCCCAAAATGGGGGAGGGTGCACAAGAGCAGGAAAAATCAACGAATCGACACCAGATGTGTATTAACTTGACACGTTCTGATAGGGGGGCTCCTGGGGCCTCCTGGGAGCCTCCTGGGAATCTCCTGCGGACCCCTGGGGCCTGTCCTGGGCGTCCTGCGGCTTCCTGGAGCTCTCTGGAGCCCCCTGGTGCTCCCAGGGGGAATATGTAACATGTGGTCTTCTGGGCCCCCAGGCTGGACCACCTCTTGCGCAGCATCTGAGAGCTCAGAGTTGCGAGAATGTATTGTGCGAAACGGGCCGGACCACCTTGCGCACGGCATCTCAGAGCTCAGAGTTGCGAGGATGTCTCAGGCGAGACGGGCCTGGACCACCTCGCCAGGGCATCTCGGAGCCTAGAGTTGCGAGGATGTCTCAGGCCGTAACGGGCTGGACCACCTCGCGCGCGGCATTTCGGACCCCAGAGTTGCGACGATGTCTCGGGCGAAACGTGTCTCAGGCGAAACGGGCCGGACCACCTCGAGCGCGGGTCTCAGAGCTCAGAGTTGCGTGGGCCTGGGCCTCCTGGGGCCTCATGGTGACCTCCTGGGGCTTCCTCCTGGGCCTTCTGTGGCCTCCTGGACCCCACTGGGGCTTCCTGAAGCATCTTGGGGCTCCCAGGGGGGGATATCTAACATGTGGCCGTCGGGGCCCCCCAAAATGGGCGGGGGGGCCACAAGAGCAGGAAAAATCAACGAATCGACACCGGATGTGTATTAACTTGACACGTTCTGATAGGGGGGCCTCCTGGGGCCTCCTGGGAGCCTCCTGGGAATCTCCTGGGGACCCCTGGGGCCTGTCCTGGGCGTCCTGCGGCCTCCTGAAGCTCTCTGGGGCCTCCTGGGGCTCCCAGGGTCCCAGGGGGGATATGTAACATGTGGTCTTCTGGGCCCCAGGCTGGACCACCTCTTGCGCAGCATCTGGGAGCTCAGAGTTGCAAGAATGTCTTGTGCGAATCAGGCCGGACCACCTTGCGCACGGCATCTCAGAGCTCAGAGTTGCGAGGATGTCTCAGGCGAGACGGGCCGGACCACCTCGCGCAGGGCATCTCAGAGCTCAGAAATTCGAGGATGTCTCAGGCGGGCTCCCAGGGTCCCAGGGAGGATATGTAACATGTGGTCTTCTGGGCCCCCAGGCTGGACCACCTCTTGCGCGGCATCTGGGAGCTCAGAGTTGCGAGAATGTCTTGAGTGAAACAGGCCGGACCACCTTGCGCACGGCATCTCAGAGCTCAGAGATGCGAGGATGTCTCAGGCGAGACGGGCCGGACCAACTCGCGCAGGGCATCTCAGAGCTCAGAAGTTCCTGGATGTCTCAAGCGAAACGGGCCGGACCACCTCTCGCGCGGCATCTCCGAGGTCAGAGATTCGAGGATGTCTCAGGCGAAACGGACCGGACCATCTCGCGCAAGGCATCTCAGAGCTCAGAGTTTCGAGGATGTCTCAGGCGAAACGGCCCGGACCACCTCTCGCACGGCACCTCGGGGCTCAGAGTTCTGAGGATGTCTCAAGCGAAACGGCCCGGACCACCTCTCGCGCGGCCTCTCAGAGCTCAGATTTAGGAGGATGTCTCAGGCGAAACGCTCAATCCCGGACAACTCAGAAACGAGAGTTGTGAGGATGTCTCAGGCGAAACGGGCCGGACCACCACATTTGTTTGAGGATGTCTCTGCTTAGCTTTCCCTCGGCCGGAGTTAGTTTCTATCACAACAGCACCCCGTTCAGCAAGCTGTTTGGGGAAAAAAGGCCTCAAGAAAGCTCCTAGAAGCATCCCGAGAGAGCTCGAAGAGGCCCAAATTCTTGATTTTTATTGTGTTTGTTTTAAGTTGTGCGGTGTCTCGCGTTTTCGACCTTCCGGCCCAACGACCTCCAAAGGCTCCCAACAGAGCCCCAAGACTGCCCTCAGGAAGCCCGAAAATAGTCCTGGAGGAGCCTCAGACGGCCTGGGAGAGCCCCAGGACAGGCCCAAGCCGGGCCCCAGAGCGGGAGCGGGAGGCCCCAAGGCATTGTAAGACGGCCCTGATGGCCCCAACGTGGCCTTAACGTGGCCCAACACGGCCACTACACAGCTTAAGGGCCTTTTAAACATCCCGAGAGAGCCCGAAGAGGCCCATATCCTTAATGTCCCGTTGTTGTTTCAAGTGGTGTTCGCTTTCTCGCGTTCTCGAGCTTCCAGCGCTCTTTCACGGCCGAAGACACCCCGAAGGTCGCCCCTAGACTGCCGAAGAGGCCCCGAAAAGAGCTCCAAGACGGCCCAGGAGAGCCTGAAGACTGCCCAAGAGCAGCCCACGACTGCCCAAGAGAGCCCCAGGACAGGTTCAAGCTGGGCCACAGAGCGGGAGCGGGAGGCCCCAAGGCGCTCCAGGACGGCCGAGATGATCCCAACGTGGCCCAAGAGGAGCTCAAGACGGCAACACACACACAGCCCAAAAGGCCTCCAAGAGTGCCCAAAAGGGTTCCGAGAGACGTCCCGAGAGAGCCCAAAGATGCCCAAATCATTGATTTGCATTGGTTTGTCCGATGTTTTAAGCTTTCTCGCGTTCTCGAGCTCCCAATGCTCGAAGACGGCCGCAGACGCTCCCAAGACCGCCACGCGACCGCCGAAGAGGCACCCAAAAGAGCCATCAGACGGCCCCAAGGAGCCCGAAAATAGTCCAGGATGAGCCCCAGACGGCCCAAGAGAATCCCAGCAGGCCCAAGCTGGGCCACAGAGCGGGAGCGGGAGGCCCCAGAGCGCTCCAAGACGGCCCAGATGGCCCAGGCCCCCTCCTCTTGCCTCCATTCCTTCCTCTCTCCTCTTCCTCCCCTCGCCCTTCAGCTTTCGTGCTCCTCCCTCCTCTGCTGGGGCGGTGCCGCCAGAGCGCCAGACAGGCCCCGCCAGAGCGAGCGGGGCATCGCTATACCCTATCATTTCACAAGTTGCTTTCCCCCTCCTACCCCTCAAGGTTGGCCCAGGCAGAGCGACAGCGTTCTGATTACGCGTTTCTTTGCGTCGATGGCATGGGCCCGAGAACGCTGGAAATCGCGTTGTGACCACAGCGGGGCTTGCAGCGGCACCCGTGCCTCATCTGTGGCTAGAACCTAAGCGCGCGCGTAGCGCGCGTGGTTCTAGTAGAAGCTTACATGGTTAACATGCATGTATTTATACATATATATATATATATACACATATACACGAACACATGTGTGTACACACACACACACATATATATAGTAGTGGCCTCCGGCCAGTGCCGCCGATCCGGGGCGCTCCGCAAGATGATGATCAGGATGATGCTGCAGGGGAGAGGGCAGGGGAGGGGGTCTGCTCTGCAGGGGGAGTCCGTTCGGCAGTTGGAGGGACTGCAGGGGAGAGGGGTGGTCCGCTCTGAAGGA